AAAAAAAAAAGTGCAAAGTTGAAATCCTTATTTACACATTCACTCGTCGGAAGATCCATTTTGTTATAGGCAACCATATAAGGTTTCTCTAAATCGTTTGTAAAAGAAAAACAATGGGTCGTCTAGTTTTCTCTCCTTAACCTTTCCATCTATTCAAGAAGCTGATCTTCTCATGCGAAGTGTCAAGCGTATCAAAGACACAAATGCAAATTCGGTTACATTGCCTACAGATGAAGCAATGGTGGAAGTTCCAAATTTGATGCTATCTTATAGGGATAAACTTCTTTTGGATGGAGTTCCTGAGGAAGCTAATGTGGATCTATCCTCTGATGCTATTCCAGAGTTTCTAGAGGAAGAATTGGACGTTGATGATGATCCAAACGACCCAAGACCCATTGTCTTGTTTTCTAAGGAGGAAAAGATGAGGATGCGGGAACCGTGGAAGAATTCTCTTATTATTAAGACTATTAGCAAAATTGTGGGATATAATTTTCTATACTCCAGGATTAAAGCACAATGGAAGGCCACAAGTAAGTGGGAATGTATTGATTTCGGTTTTGACTATTATCTTGTTCGATTTCAGGTATAGGAGGATTTGAACAGAGTCATCAATGGAGGGCCCTAGTTTGTTGGATCCTTTTATTCAGTGTTTTGAAACTTGGATCGGACAAGTTGGTCCTACCGGTCCAACTGTCACCCGGAGCATGAAACGGGCTGGGTTGACACCCAGGCCCGTTCCAACCGTCCAAACTCGAAGAACTCGTTCAACCCATCTCGCCTAAAAGACCTGGCAAACCCGCCAGCCGAATTGCTCCAGGCTAGACAACATCGACGCACACCCTGCAACTTCTTTTTTTTTTCCCCACAATCGGGGTTTCTAATTTTCATTGACTCATTCGGTCATTCCATTCTCAACTCTTCCAACTGTCAAGTCTCAAGTCTCAACTCTTATCACAACCAAACAAAATCAGAAAATCCATTCTCCAATATTCATCATCCATCGTTCTCTTTCTCGGCTTCTCCACTCTCCAATCTCCATTCTTTAATCTCCATCCCTTTTCCGACGAAGAAGAAACCACAAGGCAGGAGATCGGGTAGCAGATCTTCATCATCCATTGTTCTCCTTCTTATCTTCTCCACTCTCTAGTCTCCATTCTTAAGTCTCCATCTTTTTTCCAGCAAAGAAGAAACCACAAGGTAGTAGATCGAGTAACAAATCGGCGTTCATCGTCTCTCCAGCAGATTGGTAGTTAACAGGCAGTAGCAGGCAGCAGCAGATCAATGTTCACCCACCAGCCTTGATCCACCACCACAAGGCCTCATTGTCCATCCGAGGCTGCTGCCGGCAAGCTCATTGTCACTGGCTTTCAATTTCTCAACAATTTCTTGAAACTGTTGGAGTTGGACAATGCTTCTGAAATCTATTTCTCCACTGAAATAGAAATCAAAATTTTTTTTAACCTCTAATTGCTTCAGTGAATGTAAAACAGTGCATGCTACATGTTATAATTATAAGATCAAAAGTTGTTAAGTTGATTTACTTTACCTGAATATATCATATTTCTCTATTGTTTAGCATTAAGCCATTGAGTTTTGTTTTTGTAAAATTTGTAGTGTATGTCCGTATGAATTACTTGAAATATCTGTAATTTTAGAGGGTTTGTTTCAGTATTTGATTGATACTACTAGTGCAGTCTAGTCTCAAACATTGTGTATTTTTATCAAGTTGTGTCATTGATCAAAATCATCAAAATTGAAAATATGTAGTAAATTTTGAATATTTGGATTTTTTTTATTTGTTGTAGAATTGCAAACATGTCATCCTTTGGACAGAATTCAACTGCTACATCCTCCCAACCTTCAATAGGTAAAACAGATGCAGCATGAGAGCATTGTGTTGAAATTATAGAGGGCACAAAAAGAACAATTAAATGTTTGCACTGCCAAAAGATATTTAGAGGAGGAGGTCTCAATAGAATAAAACAAACATCTTGCTAGAAAGGGAGGAGATGTCAAAAAGTGTGATAAGGTGCCATTTGATGTTCGTTATTGGATGTAACAGAGTTTGAAGGAAATTGAAGAAGTTAGGAAACAAGCAAAAGTATATGGGAAGATAATCCATTTGAAATTTTTGAAAGAGATGCACCAAACTTGCAAGAGATTCCAAATCCTTCTTCAACTTCACGTTGTCCACAATCTCAAGTTAAAGGAAAGGGATTAGAAATTTCAGCAAATAGAGATAGAAAAAGGAAGGCAAGTAGGATACAAAATTATTTTGCCCTAATAACTACTGCTGGAGCTTAACCATCAATTAGAAGTGCCTTGGCAGGTAAAGATGTTATCCATAATGCTGATTTGGCCATTGCTAGATTCTTTTTTGATAGTTTTTTGCCCATAAATGCTATCAACTCCCCTTACTTTCAGCCTATGCTTGATGTTATTGCTGCAATTGGCCCTGGTTATAAAGCACCAAGTTATCATGTTATGAGAAGCAATCTATTGCATGATTTAAAACAAGAGGTTCAATTGTTGGTTAATTCTTATAGGAATATTTGGGCAGAAACTAGTTGTACTATTATGGGTGATGGTTGGCAAGATTAGAAAAATAGACAATTAATTAATTTTCTTATCTATTGTCCTAGAGGAATTATCTTGTGAAATATGATGATGCCTCTGATATTGTTCAAGATGCTTCCATGCTTGCAATTTGTTTAGGGAATTAGTTGAGTTTGTGGGTGCTAATAATGTTGTGCACTTAGTAACTGATAAAGCAACCAATAATAAAAAGGCTGGGAGATTGTTAAATGACATTTATCTTACAATCTTTTGGTTTCGTTGTGCTGCACATTGTTTGAACTTGATTTTGAGTGATATTGGAAAGTTGGAGGTTGTTAGTAATCTTGCAAGTCGTGCATCTTTGGTATCCAAATTTATATACAATCATCCTTTCTTGTTGGCTTGGCTACGAAAAAGGGAAAGATGGACAAAAATTATACGTCCTGGACCAACACGTTTTGCAACTACATTCATTGCTTTGAAAAGCATTCATGAGCATAGGCATGACTTAGAAGCATTGGTGACTAGTCTAGAATTTAAAGAGTTTAGATACTACAAGGATCATAAGGCAAATGATGTTGTGGTTGTTGTTCTAGATAAAAAATTTTGGAATAATTATGAGCTTGTTGTGAAAATTCTAAGGCCATTTATTCGCTTGCTTAGAATTGTGAATGGTGATGAGAGGCCTTCACTTGGATATGTGTATAATGGCATGTACAGAGCTAGAAAGGCCATTAAGACTATATTGATGAATAGGAAGTTTTTGTATAAGCCTTATAGAAGAATTATCAAGGAAATGTGGGATAGGCAACTTCGTCAAAATCTTCATACTGCTGCATATTACTTAAATCCTGATTTTTTCTATGATAAAGAGAATTTTCAACCAAGAAAGAAGTCATGAAAGGTTTTATGGATCTTGTGGATGCAAAAGTGCCATCTCGGAGGTCTAAATTTTTGAATGAGTGTGAGTTGTATGACAAAAAAATAGAAAGCTTTGGTTGTGGAAGTGCTCTTGAATCCTCAAAAACTATGAAACCCGGTAAGATTTCAATTTTTTAAGTTTTTTTTTAAGATTATAGTACTTTTATTTAATTGTTCATGATATTTAATTTTTTAACATTTGTATATGTTTTTTTCTTTTTGTCTTCTCCCTAGACGATTGGTGGAAATATTTTGGATATAGTGCTCCAAATCTTAAAAAAATAACAATACAACTTTTGAGTCAAACATCATCTTCTTCGAGGTGTGAAAGAAATTGGAGTGTATTTGAAAGAAATTGGAGTGTATTTGAAAGAATACACACCAAGAAGAGGAATAGATTGGAGCACTAAAGGTTGAATGATTTTGTCTATGTGCATTATAATTTGCACTTAAAACATATGTATTTTATCTAATCTATATAATAATTGTACTATATTAATAAAGTTCCATCTCTTATTGTTTATATGTTCTTATAGTTTTGTTATGAAAATTTTATTTTTTATCTTGAATTATAAGAATGATAACAAAAGGAAGACTTGTTTCAATCCTATTGATTATGAAAGCAAAGACAATGTTGAGAAATGGGTCATGGAAGAAGATGATTCTCCGATTTTTTATTATGATAAATTGAAAAATATGATATATAATGATAAAACAATGCTAATATGTCATACAACTCAAAAAGAAGGTTAGAGAATAATCAAAGTTTTTTTTCATAGTATTTTGATTTTAAATTTATTATGTTATTTTGTCATTCTATGAATTATTTTGTTGATTATGTGAGTTAGTTTTGAATTATGATTTATTTGTTACTTTTTATTTATTATGTGTTTTTACTTTTTAACTTTTAAGATAGCACACATAATATTGATGAAGAAGTGTAAGGTGGTGAAGAAAGGATCATTCCATATTGGTGGTGCAAGTGGAGGAATTGACTTGGAGTCAATTGGTGAAGAAAATGATGATACTTATGATAGTGAAAATGAGTTTTGTGAACGTGATGCTTGGTTTAATGAAGATCCTCCTCAACTAGGGGATAAACAATGAACAATTTTAATTTATGCATCATTTGCATATTAGTTTGAGTTTTTCGACTTATTTTTCATATATATGTATGTGTGAGATTTATTAATTTTAAGATTTGTAGTTGTATGACACTTTTTAATTTATTTATTGAGTTTTTGGACTTGTATTTGGTACAAATTGTAAGGAAAAAAATTTTAAAACAATAGTAGAAGTCTATCGAGAAAGCCTAAGATTGCAAATTCTGTCATTTTTGATTGACCTAGCCGGCTAGTCGGTTGAACCGATCAAACCGACCAAATTGGGAACTAGTGAGTAAACCGATTCAATCACCGGTCCAATTTTCAAAACCATGCTTTTATCTCACTGTCAGATCATGGGAACCGAATTTCAGGCCTGAGAATGCCACCTTCTCTCATATAGTTGTTTGGGCTCAGCTACCCAGACTATCAATAGAATACTATGATACCAATTCATGTCATTTGAATTGGAAATTGTATTGGAAACTTGCTCCGGGTTGATGCTCATACTGCCCATCACACTAGAGGGCAATATGCACGTGTGTGTGTGTGTATTCATATTGATTTGGATAAACCTTTGGTGAAAACTGTCAGATTGGGTAAAGTTAGACAAAAGGTAGCTTATGAGGGTATTCGAGGACTCTTTTTCTGATGTGGTTGAATTGGCCATCGTAAATTGAAGTGTACATTTAATTCTCAACCCATTGTGGCCAATAGATTTAGCAATGGAGAAAGCCAAACTGCTCAAGACAGCAATGGAGCTCCTGATTGTGGTACCACAGGCACTAATTCTGCTAGTATTTCCATACGTAGAGAGCCAACTGGAAAGGCTCAAATTAATACCCAAATGCTTGGATCTACTTTTATCAAGGAGAACCAATATGATGAATTTGAACCATGATTAATTGTGGAACGCAAAAAGAAGAAAAAGCCACAAAGACAGTTGCTGGAATCATCGTCGGTGGCTATTGATAAGGGAGCCATAGAGAAGAAAGAGCAACCCGAGCCGAGCCAAAGATCTAGGCCTATGAGCCAACTGGGTCAAGCAAGTAATAGGCCTAGAAAAACCAACAGTAAAGTGGTAGGAGCATTAAATATGAAAACACAATTTAATCTTATAAAAAGTTAGCCTCCGGTGTGATCGTTACCAACTCTGAGCAAAATCAATTGGGCTTGAACCCAACAGGGCAACCCACATTACAGCAACCTACATCCAAAGGAAAAGGGAAAGTAGAGATTTCTACTAGATCCAATGCTAAATCAGAATTTAAGAAAGTTAGACTAGGCTCGAGACACTTTCTTGGTGATTGCAATCTCAACCAAGCTGGGCCTTCTTCAAAAATTACCAGATGTAACACCCCACATACCTTAGTGAATAATTTAAAAATTAGTGTCCTTTAGTTTATAGTTTTAAGGATTAAATTGATTGAATTTAAAGTTTGGGGGTTTTAAGTAGAACTGAGTAGGAGTTGAATGGCCTTAACTCAATTATTTTAATTTTTCTTACCACATGGCATTATCCTAACCAAGCTTTTTTTCCTTGTCAGTTGAACTTGGATAAGCCTCCAAAAGGCTCCCAAAAGCCCTCATTTTTTTTCCTGCACCTCATCTTCCACCTGCATCTTTCTTCCTTCTTTCTCCGGTTAAGGTTAAGGTGCTTTTTTAGGTAAACATGAGTTTTGGTTATAAATTTTGGTTTGAGTTTTTTGAGTAGTTTAAATTAGTGGAATTTGACCCCAAAACTTTAGTTTAGTAGATATTTAGGCATTAAAAATTTATTAGAAATGTGTCAAATTTTGGGGTTGTATGAGAAGAACAATGAATTATTCCTTGTTTTTTTTTTTTTAATGTTTGATTTAGTGTGAATTTTATGGAT